CTAGTTTGGTGGTGATAAACGCCTTTAGCCTTTTTTTGTCTGAGGAGCTCTTTATTTCACCATCTATTTTGAATGATAACCTTGCTGGGTAGAGTAATCTTGGTTTCACATCCTTGCTTTTCATTGCCTGAATACTTCCCTTCTGGCCTATAGGGTTTCTGATGAGAAATCAGCTGACAGCTTCTTTATAGGTAACAGCTTGCTTTTCTCTTGCTGCCTTTAAGATTCTTTGTCTTTTTGGCATTTTAATTATGATGTGTCTGGGCATGGGCTTCTGAGAGGGCTTTTCTTGATTGGGATTCTCTGTGGGTCCTGAAGTTGTTTGACATTTTCCTTACCAGGTGAGGGAAGTTTTCTGCCATTATTTCTTCAAACAGGTTCTCTAACGTTTGCTTACTTTCGACCTTTTCTGGCACTCCTATGATGCGAATATTGTTATGTTTCATTAAACTGTCCTCCTGTTTATCGTTTTTTCTTTTTGGTCCTCTGATTGATTTTTTTCTACCCTGTCTACTAATTTGCTGATCTAATCCTTAGCATCCCCTAATGTGCTATTTATGCCTTCCAATATGTTTTTTAATTCTACTATGTCATTCTTAATTTCCTTCATAGTTTCCATATCTTTTCTCATGTTGATGAGTATTCTTATGATCTGTATTCTGAACTCTATATCTGATAGATTGCTTATCTCCATTTCATTTAGCTCTTCTTCTGTAGAACTCTTTTGTTCTTTCATTTGGGGCTTGTTTTTTTTGTCTCCCGATTTTTGCTGCTTGTTTGGATTTGTTTCTATGTATTAGGTAGACCTGCTAGGACTCCCAGTCTTTTGGGTTGTTTCTGGTGCAGGCCAGCGTCAGACGCTGTTTCTGACTGGCCTTGAGTACCCTTTTTGGAGCTATTGGCAATCCACAGCTTGTGTTTTTCTCTGTTGGGGCTCGGTCCAGAAGCAAATCAGGCAAAGACTCAAAGCACCCAGAGGCTAATTGTTAATCAGTCTCTTAATGAGCCTCAGGCTGTAGAAACTCCACAGGGTGGGATGAGAGGTTTTCCAACAAGGTGAGGCAATTGCTTCCCCCACTAGGCAAAAGCTGCTTGGAAGGTAAATGTCTGCCTGAGAAAGATGTCCTCTGCAGCATGGGGGAAGGACTTAGCACAAAAAAGCAGATGGCTGCCCTCTTAGCTCTATCCCCAGAGCCAGCAGCCTCGGGTTCTGCTCTCATAGTTCTTGTTCACTCTGCCCTCCCTGGAGCCCAAGGTGAGTGCTGCACAGGAAACTGTTCATTTGCTCTTTCAGAGGGTGCCTGCATTTCTAGCTATCTCTCCCTGGCAGAAAAACCCCCTGCTGTTTTTCACAAATGTTTTGTGGACAACTTTCTCAGTTCTGGTGTTCTGGGCTGGAGAGCTCAGCCTTGGGTTTAGACCCCAGAGTTCTCAGTGGGGAACTCCCACAGCTTAGGTATCCCTTCAGACCTTCAGCTGCGGCCTGTGAGCCCAGCCAGCCCTCTTGTACCTCCACACTTCCTACCAGTCTCTGTGTGGTCTCCACTTTTCTTTATTTGTTATGAGGTGCTCTCTAGCTAGTCTTCAGTTGATTATTCGGGATGGTTTTTCTGTATTTTAGTTCTGATTCCATATTGGTCACATGAGAGTGTCAGTGTAGCTTCCACTCAATCCATGGCCATCTTGGGTCCAGGACACACATAGTTTTGAATTTGCTTTCTAAAAATAACTTTGGAATTCTCTGTTTGGGCAAAGTAACATGTATGTTTTCATTAGAGATTTTCCTCTTCTTCCCTTTCTTCCCTCTCCCTTTCTTTTTCTTCCTCTCTTTATTTAAAATACATTCATATTTTTATAGAATGCGTATAAGAAATGGCTAAGAAAATAGATTATTAATCATAATGATTTAGAGTCATTATGAATGCTAATATATTAAAATCATTATAAAGCTGATTATTAATTATTGATTGTTCTGATTGATTGAACTTGAATACATTTCTTATTCTGTTGACTACATCTTTGATGCAGATCTCAGGGAGTTCTTACTTCCTTTTGATAATGAAAATATGTTATCCTTTCAAATAGAACAAATTTTTAAATCCTGGTTGACTTAATAACTAAATTATAATAAAAATCCTTAGAATCGAGTTTTAACATTTTTTTGTGTGTGTTTATGCTGTTTGAATATGTATTTGGGCTCAGGTTAACCTTAATTTTTCTTGGCTTTTTAGAGCTCAAATTATAAATTATTTTGAAGTAGTTTGTTTAAAGGGTAAATACCATTTGTTTTTAATACTTTCAAAACATGTAACAGGCTGTTATGAAAAATAAACTGATTTTTTCATTCTATTTTTGATTAATAACTTTATTTATAAATACTTTAATAAGCTTTTAAGGATATTCTGAAAAGTGGAATTTTCTCATAACTGAATGCCAACTATGTTTTTGTTCAACTTTAAAACCACCAGACATTTAACATAGTATATGTCTTGTAGTCTAGTTTGATACATTTTTGTTTAATAAATATATGATTTTAAAGTTCTGGATCTAGGGTTGTGCCTTATATGGAACATAGGGAACATATCAGGTTTGTGTCACTATTATAGCACCTACCACATTTTATTACATCTTCTCCCCTTCCTTTGATGCCAGTGCTTGTTCATTAACTGTATTATTCTCTGTAGTGTTTGAAATAGCATATTTTTTCAGCAAAATCATTGATAGAATAACAAGCATATACAGTTGCATTGTACTACACTTTACTAATCACAAATTTATTTCAGTATCAGTATGCTTGAAGAGAGTCTGGAGACTTTTAAATGTAAGTGAAAACATACTGATGTTGTCTGCCATTAGTTTGAATTATCTAGGCTTACAGACAAAATTCTCTTTAAATACTGCCAATTTCTTATGGAGTTTTAAGGCTTGCTTTCTGCTCCTATGAAGTTTTGAGGGAGGAATAAAATTTTTCTATTTAAAGCTGAAAGGCATCAGGTTTCTGTATATTTTCAATTGTCTTTGCATCTCATAACTAGTATAATAATTCTAAAGTAAGTTGAGTTTCACATGATACAATTACATAGTAATAGATGTCTTTGGTGGCCCACATAACATACCCTTAGTCCTCAGTTGTGGTGGACAGACACTGTGAGCTCAAGAGGCACCCAGCCCTGACAGAGTTTCTCTTTAAATGTGTGCTGTTTGCTTTTCTACTTTCTGCGTTTCTACAACACTGCTGGAGCCCAATGTGGATATCCCTTTATTCAATGCCTAAGTATAGACTAGAAGTTCAGGTTGTTAAAAACCCTTAATTAATAGAGGATAATACTGATAGATAAATGTTCCAGCGTCCTATCCTATAGGTGAACAATTCCAGAGGTCTTCTGTATGCTTCTCTGTTGTCCACAGCAGCAACCTCAGTAATATACTCATATTAGCATTTTCTCCTTCCTTGGCTTGTTTCCCTACTCCCTCACTCCTGTTTCTTAGGGTTCTCTTCATATAAACTACTTGTACTCAAGTCCTTGTCTTCAGTTGTTCTTTCTGTAGAATCTAAACTAAGAAGTTTTATAGAAAGGAAATCTGTTTAAATATGTTAAACATAGCTTTTCCCAAACATATTGGATCATAGAACTTTTGTTTGACTCCTATTACTAGCAAATGTGGTAAATTTATGTATTTATTTATAACATACATTTTATAGGACAGTGAAACTTACAAATTCAAACAAAGGTCCTTTTAGAGTTGAAAATACCTATCAACAAAAGATAAAACACTTTTAAAGTGATACTATACCTTAACCATTTGGTATCAAACCTGATGAGTAAAGTCAGGAATAGCATTACAAACCATCATAGGTTTATTAAAGTATCATTAATCAAAATACTTGTTTCAAAAACTTTACTTCCTGTAGTTCTGTATTGAGACTGGTAAATAATTACACCTGAAAGATGTTGCAAAACTGAAGACTTTTTCTTTGAGTGTTTAGAAAAATTTTGTTTGCCTGCTTGTTTTTAGTGGACAGTTATTGCCAATCTACTATATAACAAATTGAGAACCCTGTCACTACACAGATATTAGTGATTAATGAAAATATTGTTGTATAAGAACATAACCCCCCCAAAAGAAAAAACTTTTGGGTTTAAAATCAGTGTTCAGGCCAAGACTGAGACTGATACATACTCAACTATGTATGTGAGGGCATATTTGTACTCTTGCTATTTCTCTTGATTTGTTCAAACTAGAAAGCATTAGTTTGGGTTTCAACTCAGGACTTATTGAACTCTGTGCTTAAAATAACCAATAGGTTTTCAAATTTTAAACATATAAATGTTGTTATAGTTGAACTATACAATTTCTTTTTTGGCTTAAAAAATACCTTTTAAATATTAGAATCTAAGAGTCTCACCTGAGGGAAAAATTTGAGTATATTATCTTCTTTAAGTTTGGCTGTTCTATTTATGTTTTTAAGTTTATTCTGTCACCAAACAATTGCCTACATTTGAACATGAGGCAAGAGAACTTAAATCTTTGTGTCTAAGGACATTGAATGAAGCCACTTTAATAATTTTTGTTTACTCTTTTACCCTTAACAATCATGTTAAGGTAAATTACTGGGCCATATCATTCTCAAACCTCTCTTTATCAGAGCTCACATTGATGTTTCAGATTTCATATTAAGTGTGATAAGTGATTTAATTTTTTTTAAAAGAAGTAATACAGTGGCCAGATAATGTAGTCATTTTTATTCAGAACATTTTATAAAGACTCAAAACCTTAGAGAGGCTTCCAAGGTAGTTTCTTTAGTAACATTTTGTCCTAGGGTTACAAAAGCACAATATGCCTAGAGCAACTCCAAATATATAAATAAAAATATTTAACTTGCTTGCTAACTTATGTTGCTCTCTCATCTATCAACCTCTTTTTAATATAGGGAACTGATAAGTATGTAGAGATCCAAAAGTTTAGTTAACTTAATTCATTTTTTCCTTGTTTTTTAGTGGGAGATTTTGATAAGATCTGGCGAGAACATTGCGAGGATGAGGAAACACTTTGTGAATATGCTGTTGCAATGAAAAATTTGGCAGATAATCATTGGGCAAAAAGTTGTGAAGGTGAAGGTCGTATTGAATGGTGTTGTAGGTGAGTGTTTTTATGAACTAACATGCTTGGTTTCTAATTTATTGTTGACATGCTCAAATTTAAGTAATGCTATGTATAATTTATTGTACCAAAATAGAAGTGTTTGAAAACAGTTGATATCTTTTAAACAATTCTTGCCCCTTGCTTCACTTTCTCTAGATTTATTTCATCTTTTTAAATCACAATGTTTTTCTTTGATATAACTTTTAATTTTCTGCTTCAACTTTTTAAAAGAATGCCTTTAAGTACATTTAACTTACTTAACATTAATACAACAAAATATGAAATTTAACATGATTCATCATTAATAAGTTATGGTATAGAAATTTCTTTAGATAAATATCCACATTTGGATTAAAGTAAAGGTGAGTGCTTTTCTATAATTTAAAATTTGAAAACATCTTAAAAAGTTTAAAAATCCTGAATTTTTGATGTCTGATTCACGATATTCTAGCTTTTATATTGATTTTGGGTAATGTTTATTTTCTCGTAGTATAGATTCGAATGTTAAAAACATCAGAAAGTGAAATAGTGATGATCAATTCTCTTAAGGTAGTAAAATAAGAATGAATATGTATATTGACTGAATTTTTAATGAATTTCCAGAAAACAAAGCATTATCTTTCCACATGGACAAAGTTTATGATAACTTCAAGTTTATATTTTATATCAATTATTTTTTATTCAAATTTCTGTTAATCTCATTAAAAAATTACAAAATAGTGTCTATTTCATTCATTCAGCAAGTGATCTAGAGAAAAAGATACATTTAAATTAGTTTTTTTTACTTATTCATATAATAAATAATTTTTAGTGTTGTCTACTGTCTGTTAGTCATATCATAGATACTGGGAGTATAGCAATCAACCAAACAGACAAAATTCTTGCTCTCATGGAGCTAATGTGCTAGTGGGGATTAGAGGCAAGACACTATACGTAAATTAAATACGTAATAGGTCAGAAATGCTAAGTGCCATGAGAAAAATAAAGTAAGAAAAAAGAGCATGTTGGCATGTTTCAGAAACAGCAAGGAGACCACCAGTGTGGCTAGAGCAGAATGAAACAAAGGAAAATGGTAGGAAATAAGGTAAAGAACAGCTAGATGTTGTAGGGGCTTGTGGACCATTGTGAAGACATTGGCATTTATTTTGCATAAGATGAGAAGTCATTGGATGTTAGGATTTTATTAGCTTTTTAAAATGTCATTAATTCTTACGAATTAGTTGCTGTGTTAAGATAGACTATAGGAAGGGCAAGGGTGTAAGTAAGGAAACCAGTTTGGAGGTTACTGTAATAATCAAGGGACAAAGTTATAATGACACAGTTTTTCTTGGACAGTGAAGAAGTGAATGGATAGGACAATGTAGTAGGATTAATGCTCAAATCATTATAATGACTCAAGAGAGGGATAAGAGAGATGATGTGTGCACTGCAGTGCTTATGATAATATGTAAGAAGGAAGTTGAACGTGAGGTGGGTGAGGAACAGTGAATAGGTGGTACCCTTAATGGATTCTGGAGCCAAAGAACTGTGGAGTTGGGAAACTACAGGAAGGAACCAGAATAATAGGAAATGAGGTGCTTGGAATTAAAATGTTTGGGGGGTTTTGTTTGCTTCTAGAGAGAAAATGGTTATAAATCTGACTTTTTTACAGGATAAACATTTTCTCCCTCAAGTAACATTTTCTCCCTTAAGAAGTACAAAATGAAGTGTACTGCTGAACCAGATATTTCCCTTCTAACACAAAAGAGTAACATAAGCCAATCAGGAAATCAACACCATCGCTATTTAAGACCATTCTTAGCTTTTAGCAGCACTGCTTTTAAAGTAGTTTATAGTACACAAGGCAAGCTCTCAGACTTTCTTAAATGGACTTTGATATGTGGTGTTCTTATAGGAGTATTCTCTTTTACCTTCCACTTGAATAATGAATCTGTCTCCCACTTCACTTTTCTTTTTCCTTAGATATGTGTGTTATCAATAGTTACTGTATCTACATGTGTCCTGAAAGAGGTCATTTTAGGTCAAACTTCTGAAAAAGAACATTAATAAAAATTTAGGTTAAACTGCTGAAAAAGAACAGTGGCAAAATATGGTAAAAAGATTTTACTATGGAAAGTTGTCCCAAGAGGAGTTTTATAATGTTTGCTTTAAACTTAAAAGTAGGTTAGGGAAAAGTCTTCAAAACAATATTGAAACTTGGGTTATCTGTAATTCTAACTTGGGTTATATGTAATTCCTTTCTCTGTTGACAGTTCTACAACAGCAATGTCACTTTGAAAGCTAAAGTGGTCTTTAGAAGGGGTGTGACAAAAAGTTTGCTTCCAGTTAGTTATACTTAAAACTATTGGAGGAAACAACTGCTGTGTTTCAACATAATAAATATAATAGAAAAAAAAAAACTTGATTGGAATTTGGCATGTGAGTTAAGTCTTACTGACATTACTGTTCTAAGATTGTGTTGACTGGTTAGCTTGAATAATTCTACATAAGATTTCTTTCAAAAAATAGTAAAATTTTTATTTGTAATATGAAGTATTAAAAACCAGAAACAAAATACAATATAAAGTTACAGTTGTATATTTAATTTTAAAAATTTGCCTTTTGTAACTTTTATTAAAAAATTATCTTTATTGTTGAAAGCATACAGGTGTCCCATTTTTCCCCCCAATTGACCTTCTCCACCTCGCTCCCACCTGCTCACCAGTCCTTCAGCCCATTATTGTCTATGTCAATGGGTTATGCATATATGCATATAACTTCTTTGGTTAATCTCTTCCCACCCTCCACCTCCCCTCCCTCTTCCATCTGTGATGTGACTGACTGTTGCATGCTTCAATGTCTCTGGATCAGTTTAGTTTAGCAGATTCTTTTGTTCATTAGCTTCTTCTTAAAGAAGACCCTTCAACACTTCATGTAGTACTAGTCTGGTGGTGATGAATGCCTTTAGCTTTTTCTTATCTGTGAAGCTCGTTGTCTGACCTTCAGTTCTAAATGATAGCTTTGCTGGTAAAGCAATCTTGGTTGTAGGTACTTGCATTTCATCACTTGGAATATTTCTTGCCACCCACTTCTGGCCTGCAAGGTTTCTGTTGAGAAATCAGCTAACAGTCATATGGGTGCTCCCTTGTAGGTAACTAATTGCTTTTCTCTTGCTGCTTTTAAGATTCTCTGCCTTTATCCTTTGGCATTTTAATTATGATGTATCTTGGTGTGGGCCTCTTTGGTTTCCTCTTGTTGGGGACTCTCTGTGCTTCCTGGACTTGTAAGTCTATTTCTTTCCCCAGGTAGGGAAGTGTTATTTTTTTCAATAGGTTTTTAATTTCTTGCTCCCTTTTTCTCCTTCTAGATCCCCATAATGTGAATGTTGGGCCTCTTGAAAGTGTCCCAGAGACTCCTTACACTATCTTCACATTTCTGGATTATTTTTTCTTTTTCCTCTTCTGGTTGGGTGTTTTTTGTTTCCTCATGTTCCAAATTACTGATTGGATTCTCAGTGTCCTCTACTCTACTTACTGTTGATTCCCTGTAAATTATTCTTCATTTCAGTTTGTGTAGCCTTCATTTCTGATTGGTGCTTTATTATATCATTGATGATATCACTAGTTTCTTTAATAGTCTTACTAAGATCCTTGAGCATCCTTATAACCATTTTTTTGAACTCTGTATCTAGTAGCTTGCTTGGCTCCATTTCACTTAGTTCTTTTTATGGAGAGTTCTTCTGTTCTTTCCTTTGTGACATGTTTCTTTGCCTCCACATTTTGGCTGCTTCCTGGTGTTTGTTTCTACCTATTAGGAAGAGCTGCTATGTCTCCTGAAATTTGTAGAGTGGCTTTGTGTATTAGGTGTCCTGTGGGGTCCAGTGGCTCAGCCTCCCCAGTCACCTGAGCTGGGCCTTCTAGGTGCTCCCCTGTGAAGGCTGTGTGCCCTGTCCTGTTGTAGTTGAGCCTTAGTTGCTGTTGGCGTCACTGTGAGGAATTGACCCCCAGACCAACTGGCTGTGTGGACTAGCTGCAGCTACAGCCAAAGATCTGCTGTGCTGGAAACACCCCTGTGGAGCAGGATTTACTTCAGTGAAGCTTTGGTGTTCACCATGTCTGCCTCTTGAGGGTGTCACTAATGGACGTTTAGGATTGTAATCTAGTGTGGTCGAGTCTGACCAGCAGGTGCACTGTCTCTGGGGCTTCCCAGGAGGTGTGAAGTTAGCCTCTGTCTGTGCCTTGCCCCAGGCCACCCAGCATGTGCTACACAGCAAACCATAGTTGGCTACTACTTGTGCTGGCCTTGGAGGTGTCCAGGAGAGGCCAAGCTACTAACCAATGCAGGCTGCAACTAGTGCCTGGCCTGGGGCCACTTATTGAGAGGTATGGGGCTTGCTGAGGCCAGATGCTGCTTACATAGAAAAGTCCACTTGCGTAGAAAAGCCACTGGAAATGACTTGGATGAGCTTGCAAGTAGGGAAGGGTGGGGTCTCTGGGAATTACCAGGGTAAGGTGAAAGTTGGAAGTCAGGTTCCTGGAGATTCAGAGAAGGCTCCTGTCTGCCAGCTCTGAGGGGGAAGGGCTCATCATAGGAGCAGTGGCCTCTGCAAGATCTTGTCTATGAGAAAGCTGCCCCTCCAGCTGTCGCCCTGATTTCAGGCGTTGTTTCCTCCCTTAATGTCCCTGGTTCCTTTCAAGTTGCTGTCCAGTGCTGGAGCTTAGAGGCAGTGCGTCTGAGTAAGTTCATGTGCTGGCTCTGTAAAAGGAACTGCCTGGGACTCCAGCAGCCTCCATGTCCCTCAGCCACAATCCCTGCTGGTTTTTACAGCCTGCAGTTGTTGGGACTTCTCTTCCTGGCACTGGAATTCTGGGCTGGGGGGCCTGATGTGGGGCTGGGACCCCTCACTCCTCTAAGATGCCTCCACCACTGAGATATCCCTCTGGGTTTTAAACTGCAGCACCTGGGTGTGGGACTGAGGCCTGTCTCCGCAATTCAGCCTTGAACCTCCCCGCGTCTCA